AGAAGAGATACTGCTACCGGGCGCGTCTCCCCGAGCGGATGGGAGAACGCTCGCTGTCCTTGGATGACACTTGGATAATCTCTTAGTTGATGGGGTACAGCGGGTAGGAGTCAAGCAAAATAACCAAACAAAATACGCTCCCGTAGATAAAACTCCCCTTTAAGGGGTTGGTCACACTAACTGACCTAACAAGACGATCGGTCCCTGCTGTAACTCACTGGGAGTGTCCGGAACCTGTATCGTAGTTTCCGACGATGCAGGCCACGGCTGATGTGAGCTTGCTCTGCCGAGGTGTAAGTTGCAGTAGTGGATCAGGAGCCAGTCACTTCGGGCCTTGATCAGGAAGTACGCAATGAGTGTTAGAGATCGGAATCTTCACCGCCCCGAGCGAGTCTAGTCCGTCCGTGTATTCCGGGACTGGCTAAGTGTCGGCTAGGCCTCAGGGAACTGGGGTAGGAGTACTATCTCCGAGGGTACACCCGCTCCTAGTTATGACAACCCGCTCCACTCCGTGCGCTGGTGAATCAAAAAGTATGAGTAATTTACAGGAAACATACAACAGTAGAAACGGGCCTCATGCCCAACAAGCAGCGATTAACGCAAGCGCTGAAATGAAGCAGTCACAAGCGCTCGAACGCCTCAAAAAGCTGACCAGTGAGTTGAATGACTTCGTCCAATCGAAGGTCAACATCCACAAGGAGATAAAGTCCAAGACGACTAGTGTAGCTAACGCCCTTCAAAGGTTTGAGAAACTGGACGAAGATTGGTGCTCATCATTGCTGCGCACTTCCAGTGCTACACAGGAGGAAACCTGCCAAGTTGACGCCATAACTGACGAAGCAATGGACACCGGAGCCGAAGGTGACGGTGAATCAATCGCAGAAGAGAAGGGTGAAACTGACAAAAGGCCTGAAAAGAGAAAGGAACGAAACTCACCAGAGCCAACCGACAAAGTAGCAAAGAAGAAGGACTTGAAAAAAAGCCCTCCTCAACGACTGGCAGAGCAGGGCGACGAACCTCAGAAGACGACGATTGACTGGGAAAAAGTACAGTCTAAGAAGGAGAAGAGAAGGCTAGCTAGAGTGCAACTCTCAAAGCAGCTGCCGAAGGAGCCCAGGCCAGAGCCTAAGCGGAAAAAACCACGAAAGTGGATTAGGCCTGACGCCCTGATCATCCGTCCGGTAGAGAAGGAGAAGTACGCTGAAATATTGCGTCGTATAAAGCAGGCCATTCCCGACGAACAGGTCCGCACAACCGTGGAAAAGATCCACAAAACCAAAACCGGGAACATGCTGATTACGCTCTCAAAGAAGAGTAGTGACAAAGGTCAAGCCTTGCAAAAGGCCATCACAGACATTCTTCAAAAAGAAGCTGAAGTAATTTGCAAAGGACCGCAGGAGATGATCGAAATTCGAGACATTGATGATGACACGACGAAGGAGCACATTCAGACTGCCCTGAAAACGGAAACCGGAGAAACTTGCGAAATACCACTAGAGGCTATCAAGATCCGTAAGGTCTACAGAGGTACGCAAACGGCTACAGTGACGCTACCAGCGACAACTGCACAGAAGTTACTCGAAGGTAACAGCAAAGTGAGAATTGGTTGGGCCAACTGTCGGATAAGAGCAACGAAGAGACCTGTCCAATGTTTCAAATGCTGGCACTTCGGGCACTTCGGATCCCAGTGCAAAAGCAAAGTCGATCGGTCTAGGCTTTGCATCAGGTGCGGACAAAAAGGGCACAAGATTACTGATTGCGAAAATCCAGCCAAATGTGCATTATGTGCTGAGATTGAAAGTTTAGAGAATGTTGCCCACCATGCCGGTACCCATAAGTGCCCGGTATTTCAGAATGCACTCCAGAAGTTGACGAACAAACAAGCATGAGGATACTGCAGCTTAATCTCAACCATTGTGAGGTAGCGCATGACCTGCTCTTGCAATCCGTGCGAGAACTAGAGCTTGACTTGGTACTGATAGCAGAGCCATATAAACACCTGAGTACCCAACCCTGGGAATCTGACAGCACATCTAAAGCTGTCATCTGGTCATGTGGCAAGCTCCCTTTCCAAAATGCGGTCGACAACAGCAATGCCGGCTTTGTAGCAGTATCAGTAGAGGGCGTTCGCTTCTATAGCTGTTACGCACCACCTAGCCTCTCTACTGTCGAATTCACCGCATTTCTGGATCGACTTACTGAGGACGCGAAGCATTACTACCCAATGGCAATAGCTGTGGACTTCAACGCCTGGGCAGTAGACTGGAGAAGCAAGCATACAAACGCGCGAGGAAAGGAATTACTAGAAGCCTTTTCTACATTAGATGTAGTACTGCTCAACAGTGGTGACACACCAACCTACACCAAGGGAGACGCAAGTTCTATTGTAGATCTCACTTTCGTCAGTGGCAGCCTCACTAGAGGTAACATCAACTGGAAGGTGATGGATACCTACACAGTCAGCGACCACAACGCGATTCTCTGGGAAATATTAAACGCCCAGAGCCCGAGAAGACCTAAAGAGCAACTTAACACCATTGGCTGGAAGGTAAAAACTCTTGACCCAAGTGCATTGTTAGTAGCTCTCAATAGTGACCAGATTATCGCGGGCTGCGCAGAAGAGAATACCAAGGACCTGATGAAAAGAGTGACCCAGGCGTGCGACGCCAGTATGTCTCGTAGACGTGGCATGAACGCAAGACCTTCCGTTCACTGGTGGAACGACCACATCAGCGCCCTCCGTAAAGAGTGTCATCAGAAGAGAAGAATATCTCAGCGTGGCTACCGACGAACTAACTCTGTGGAACTGGTTGCAGAGTACAAAAAAGCCCGTCGATCCCTCAACAAAGCCATTAAAGATAGCAAAAAAAAATGCTGGAAGGAGCTCATCAACGAGGTGGACAGAGATCTGTGGGGTCGGCCGTATAAGGTGGTTATGACCCATCTTAAAAACCAGCTAATGCCATCACCCACGTGTCCTCAACTCCTACAGAAGATCGTAAACGCGTTGTTCCCCGGACAAAGCGAGTTTAACTACCTCGTAGCGCAGAATGAAATGGATGACAATCCATTCGTCACGGAGAAAGAACTGATGGAGGCTTGTAATCGTGTAGGGAACAATAAAGCACCGGGATTGGACGGGGTCCCCAATATTGCCTTAAAAACAACTATAAAAGCAGTGCCATCATTGTTCCTGGACGTCTACGACACATGCCTCAAGGAAGGGATTTTCACTCGGAAGTGGAAGCAGCATCGACTATTACTACTTCCAAAAGGAAAAAAGCCACCAGAAGAACCGTCATCTTATCGACCACTTTGTATGTTAGACACGGCAGGTAAGATACTTGAGCGTATAATCCACCAAAGAATAGAAGCAGTTGTCGATCCACTCCTAGTAGACAACCAGTATGGTTTTCGGAAAGGACGATCAACCCTGGACGCAATCAACCTGGTTGTTGTAACGGCCAAGGAGGCAATCGAAGGGATCAGATGGAAGGGTGGAACGAAGTACTGCCAGGTGGCCACTCTGGACATCAAAAATGCCTTCAACTCTGCCAACTGGGACTGCATTATACAAGCCTTGGAAGAGAAAAACGTACCAGGATACCAGCGTAGGATAGTGGCTAGCCACTTCACGGACAGAATCCTGAGATACGACACAAAAAATGGTCCAAAAGAGTACGATATTACCAGAGGTGTACCCCAGGGTTCTGTTCTCGGTCCACTTCTGTGGAATGTCATGTATAATGGCCTGCTGAGACTGACTCTACCAAAAAGTGTCAAGCTTGTTGCATACGCAGACGATGAAGCTGTCGTAATCGTTGCGAAACACCTAGATAAGATAAACCACATGTTCAGTATCACATTTGAGAAAGTTAACCGGTGGATGGATTCAATGAATCTAAAACTGGCTAAACAGAAGACTGAGGCCGTGCTTATTACCAGCAGAAAAGTGACAGAGACCATAAAACTGAAAGTCGGAGAACAAGAAATCACATCACAACCATATATCCGATATCTGAGAGTGATGCTTGATGCCCGACTCAACTGTAAGCAGCAAGTCGAACACGTGAGTGCAAAAGCATCAGCAGTGGCAGCCAGCTTAGCACGACTGATGCCAAACGTCAGAGGCCCAAAGCAGAGCAGAAGACTAATACTATCATCTGTAGTCACATCAGTGCTCACTTACAGAATATCTATCTGGGCGGACGCACTAGAAAAACAAGAATCATGGAGAAAGGTTGGACCAGTATATCGTCTGAGTGCCATAAGAGTAGCTTGCGCCTTCCGCACAATATATGAGGAAGCAGTGTGCGTCATTTCTGGAACTCTACCTCTCAAAGTCCTAGCTGAAGAAAGACGGAACCCTTACCAACGAAAGAGGTCAACAACACTAAGCGCAGAAGAACTCAGAACGGAACAAAGACAGCACAGCATCGCACGATGGAAATCTCAGTGGGATGCCGCAGAGAAAGGTAGATGGACGCATCGTCTCATACCAAAAATCGATTCCTAAGAGCCAAAATCAGGATATAGTAGACCACCAATTCTTTATGTTTTTCTTTTTATTTATTTCAGTTAACAACGTTTCATCAGCTTGATTCTGACTTTATCAGGTAACCTATGTGTCAGAAAAAAGAATAAAATTAATTAAAACAGTCAAACCAAATTATTAACAATCTCAAAAATTAAAAATAGTTAATATCTTGAAATATATTAATAAAAATACATAGTCACATGATACCAAATATTACGTTTGACATAAAAACAATACATACATGAGTCATAGTCAAAAAACATTTTAACAATTGTCAATACTGATGACATTTGTATAAAATAAAAATTCCGTTTTCAGCATAAATATTTAAACGTTATTAATTAATAATTAGACAGTTACTAATAATAACCTCCAAATTACGTATGCTGCTAATGTCAGCTGCTTACTACTACTAACATACTATATAAACTATACCATTAACTGAAACTCTCGTAGTATGACTTTACTCCATTTGGCGGCGTGGATGTTTCCGGTTACATTTGAATTTTTCAATGAGGCCATGATACATGCAATTCAAATTTTCTGTGTCTGGCTTACAATTCACCGTGTCATGTAAACAAATCTGAACCATTTCGCTGATGTTCCTCTTCCACCAATTTGACTCCGAATCGATAATTTTAACATTCTCAAAATCAAAATTATGATCCGAAGAAAAATGATGAGCTGCTAATGCCGTTTGATTTTCTTTATCCTTGTTCTTCTCTTCACAGCTGTACCGATGTTGGTAAACCCTTTTTTCAGATATTGCTTAGTCTGACCGATGAACACAAGCCACAACTACAATTAATTTTGTAAATAACCTCGGACCTATCCTCAGTTTTACCTTATCCTTTAAACTTGTATATATGTCTCCAACCTTCTTTATGTTATAGAATGCTGGTTTCCAATCCGTTACTCTGAAACATCTCATAATATTTTGCGATAAGCCCCTGATGTAAGGGAACCTGAATCGATTTTCTTGCTTATCAGCTCTCAAATTATCCCTCCTGTCATCCATATGTTTGCTCTTAAATTTATTAATACTGCAATCGATGAACTTAGTAGGATAATTATTTCTCTTCAGAATAACTCGCACTTTTTTAAGGTTTTCTTGGTGATACATACTATGACTCAACGCCACCGCCCGATGTATTGAACCTAGTGCAACACTTGTTTTATGGGCAAGTGGGTGGTGAGAATTGAAGTTCAGCAACCTCCCCGAACTAGTCGGTTTTTGGAACCACTTCGTCCTCAACTCTCCATCAGCCATTCTAATGACAATTGTATCCAAGAACGCCAGCTCCCCATCCTGTTCTCTTTCCATTGTGAACTGGATCTTCTCATGAAACTTGTTGAAATGATCCAATAGGCCATCCACCTCGTCACCCGGCACCGCAAGTAATGTGTCATTCACATAAAATTTTAGAAAAGGAACATGAAACGGAAGACTATCAACAATTTTCCTCAGCACATAATCCATAACAAGATTGGCCAAGACAGGACTTGCAGGATTTCCCATGCTTGAGCCATCTAACTGAAGATAAAAAACGCTAACTGAAGCTAAAAAACTGGACGCATCCCACAATACATCGGCCGGCTAGAAGAAGCTGTGAGCTGATTGGATGCGAGTTTTTGGTACCAAGGTAAAAGTAAAGAGCACGTGTTGCCGAGGAGGCAGCCATATTAACAAGCTATTCTGATCTGGACGCCGTACCTGTTGGTCAATTAATTTCTATTACGCGCATAAAATACTGTAGTACGTAATTACGAGCCGTTTTGTTCAATAAAATTTTACGAGTCGTACTCTCGTAATCTCGTTGAGGATAATTTTTTTGTTATTTGGACGATCGTTTGAGTTATGACTATTTGCCGAGGATCAAAGTATTTTTGCCAGCACGTGTACGTGGGAGACGCCATCGCCGAGAAGTCAACGCCAGTCCGCCAGTCTTCCCGCCAATTAAGAGTGACATTTGACGAGCCAACACCGACTTCAAGGAGTTTACTGCGGCCACCGGGTGAGTCTGATCGAGATTTTTAGCTTCAGGGTGTCCTCACCGCGATTTGTGCAGTGAACATTGTCGAATTTCACCAGTATTTTTTTTTGTTGATGCAGTAATTAAGTTTCAATTTTATTTCATTAGTAAATTCCTCGCGGAATTATCAAAGAGTGAGTGACAACACTCTGAGGCACGGTACCATTGGGTTGTGTGAACGTGTGTGTGTGTTCGTGACCTCACCACGTGAGAATTTATTACCGTAATAATTATCCGTAACTCCTATTCTTTCCCGCTTCACAGCATAATTTATATTTGTTAAAAATG